GGGGATATGACATGGCATTATTTCCTGGAACGCCGCTTATATGTAATGTGCCCTGGCAGTGAGGGGCTGGGCTCAGGGACCCAGAAAACAAGGGCAGAATGACACTGGCTACCATCTTTTCCAGGACAGCTTAATTTGGCTTAAGATTAATTATACCTGGACATAGAGCTGCAGAGATTAAAACCCTTCCCCCCCTGCCCCCATCTCTGCACAGACCACGCAGGCAGGCAAATGGTGCTGCGGGGTGGGGGTGTCGAGATGGGCCCGGCCCGGGAGCTTCTGCCCCAGCCTGCTGCCAATTTCCACGTTGGATGCGGGGATTTGCAGCTGGAGAACAGCAGCAGTAAATTCCTATCTCACCAACCCCGAGTGTTAAAAAAAAATGATGAGTCAGACTCCCTGGATCATCAGACTGGCTTAATCACCACTGGGTTTTTAAATAACAAGATGTGGAGTTCTTTTGCTTTCCCCATCTGGTCCATGAGCTGGCACAAGTCACGTTTCCCAGGATTTTGCCAAATCAGGGGTTTGGAGGTGACTTCGTTTTTTAAAGTAAACAAAGAGTATGGTTTAATAGCCTGACTCCGGGAGCTGGGGCTTAAGAGAGGAGCCACTGACTATCACAGTAAAAGGTGTGATCTGGGAACCCCAAGGGCCACCCCAGCCCTGTGGGGGATGAGGCAGGAGGTGAAGCAGGTCGGCCTTCTTTCCTCTGCCCCTTGGCGCTACTCACACCTCTCCTGCCGCCTTGGTCAGGCTGGGGGGGAGAGAACCCCATGGAGGGGAAAGCTGGGGGTGGGACCCCGGCAGGCCCCTGGGAATGAAATTGTCCATGGTGATCTCATTAGGAGACCAGGCTGGGCACCGAGTCGTTCTCCCTCTGGTACCAGCATCCTTCTGATAAAGGTATCCCCCTGGTAACAGCATCCTTTAAGCACCAGCATCCCTCAGGTGTGAGCATCCTCAGGGTACCGCCCGGGGCGATGCTCATACCTGAGGGATGATGGCAGTGGACCTGCCCGTGGACTCTTCCAGGGGAGATTAAGTCGCACTGCCCGGGAATCCCTCTGGCCCTACAAATGCTACCGGGGTCTGCCAGCCCCTTCTCTCCGGGGGAAGCAAGGATGCACTTTGCCAT